TATATGTGTGTTTTTTGTTGTTGTTTTTTTTTAACATACATGGCAGTTGTTTTGCTATTTTATAGGGATGCACCGATAATTTTGGCCGATAACCGATAAGTTGGCTGATAAATCTAAATCCGAATTTTTATGTAATTTTTGAGAGCCTGATTACAAAAGTCTCACCATTAAAATCCATGTCCCAAACACTTAAACATAAATCAGGCAAATACAGGACAGCAGCCTAGTTTGAACCAGGGTAAGGTTTAAAATGAAAAGACTTACAAATAAATAAAATAATGCTTAAATAATGCAAACAAGTCATTGGACAATATTACTTGCGTGTAAAGAATCAAAATGCTTGATAAAACGAAATGGATTCCACACGGACAATAATGAAATGATTTTAATTAAACCGTATTGTTGATGAAAATAATAAAAATAAAATTGGTGGTCATTATTAATGCATCAATGATTTTGAGAAAGAAACATCTTAAATTAATACCACTGTTTCAAATATCAGCATTGCTATTTTAGCTGAATGAACACCAGTAAACTGAAGCGCTTTGTTAGCGGGTTAATTAGGCTATATGAGAATCAGATATTTATACAACATAAACATAATATTACAACTTATATATTCACAAAAAGACGCAAATGCACAAGTGAACCTGAACTACAGGAATCCTTTTGTGGATGCGTTCTTGGCTCTTCCTGTAACAACGCTCTGAAGCACGGGTGCACAAAGATTCCACAACATTATTTTGCAGTAATGTTCTCATTATAGTTTTATGTAGACTATATGACAGACTTGCCCTGCACATGTTGCACTTAATGGTATTTTCCTTTTCGAAGTGAGCAATTCGCAATTCATAAACATAATGGTAAACGGTGCGCATCTGAAGTGTCTCTGAAGGAAATAACGCATATTTTTTGGCCTTAATATATCATCCAAATCCGGGTCGATAACAATAATGGTAAAAAAATAAAAATTTTTGGCCGATACCGATACTGTGGCTGATATATGGTGCATCCCTATTTTGATCCCCTTGAAAACTTGAAACTAAATAATCATTGTAGTGTCTTCATTTTGGTTTATACCACTATGTTCCTTAGATAATGGCTGCTTGCATCTGCTCTTATTGTTATTGATAATATCACCTTGTTTTAGCTTTTGCTTAGAGTCTTTAACATCATGCGGGAAAAAAATCCAGACATGGTCGCAGGAGAGAAGAGAAAGTTTGTGATGAAGCCTCCTCAGGTTGTCAGGGTCGGCACAAAGAAGACCTCCTTCGTAAACTTCACAGACATCTGCAAACTGTAAGTCTAAACTTGAAATTGTCAAGCTGTTTTATAGAGCTGTAATGAAACTCGTAATGAAGTTTGATTTGCTCTAAAGAACTGGAAAGTTGCTGCATTTCTGAATGTTTACTCCTCATTACACTCGTAAAATAAATCTAAATTGTTGGGCATTTTGGTATCTGGCAACAAATAATTGAATTGGATATTTGCACGCGCAACCTTTATTTTGGAGGATTCTTTACCTTTCCTTCCTTCCTTGTTTGTTTTTGTTTTGTGTTGTTTATCCCAGGTTGCATCGACAACCAAAACATCTCTTGGCTTTTTTGCTGGCTGAGTTAGGCACATGGTAAGTTTATTTGATATTTTTATGAGAACTGTTAGATATGCTTGATAAACTTGATATGCTTGTTATCTAGCATACAATTAACACTGCATGACAAGTAGCTATATTTTATTTTTTGCCTCTTCTACCTCCAGCAATCTCAAAAATGTGATCCGATGAAGTGATGTTTAATTTATTGCAGTAAATATTAAATAGTTATTGCAAAAATGTTTTGGAATGACAAAAGTTTGTTTTGAAATTGTATTAATTAACATTTTAAAATTAAGCATCTCTTAACTATTTTCTGAAGTAGAAATACTTTTTTAAAAGAAGAGGCTTTTTTTGTGTCTGGTTTGTGGAAAGAGCCTAATGATCTTCTGTTCATATGTAATCTGTAAGTGAACTATTGTTTTGTTTTATGGGCAGCACCACTCAACCAATGGTTGTTTTTCTTCATCGGATGATCATTAACCTTGCATAAAAAAATCGTCTCTGTGTCTGGCAAGCTCTGGGTTTATTTTTTCAGCGTCTCTGTGCGACTGAAACCCTCCACCAGAACACTTCGCTTCCACGTTTTGCTGGAGGCATTTCACATAATGTCAGAGAGAAACCTGAATCAGTTGAGAAAGGCATTGCTGCTCTAGAGGGAGCGACTGACCCTGTGATGCTTTCTGAAGGCATTATTAAAAGATAAGCAGGCTGGTTTCAGTGCTCGACACTCAGCACCTCATTGTGTTCAACCACATGTATCTCAGAAGACACATGAAAGGAAACCCATTGATTTTGCCTCCTGGATATTTACAGATGATTTTGGTTTTGAAAGAGATCAGTCTTATTTATACATGAGAAGAATTCTTTCTGTAGCTGGGAGCAGGAACTTTGCAATTCGGAAAGAATATAGAAATTAATTGGTGGTGTTTCTCTAAAATTAAAATACAGATTTTTTTCTTTATATATATATATATATATATATATATATATATATTTAGAGATGCACTTACCACTGTTTGACTTTTCAGCGGGTCCATAGATGGAAACAATCAGCTCGTCATCAAAGGCAGATTCCAGCAGAAACAGATAGAGAATGTCTTAAGAAGATACATAAGTGAGTGTTTATTTGACTGGTGAATTATAAAAAATGTTCTTAAACATTATTTATGCTGTTTATGTATTTATGTAAGTTTATGCAAATTTACACTGAATAATAAAATAATAATTTTCATACTATCATATATATATATATAGAATTATAATTAGGGGTGCACATAAGTTTTTCAGCCTGGTTCTCAAAAGAGCACCTGGAGATTTGGTTTGGTCCTCACACTGCACACAGTGTGACCCATTAAATATAACTATAAAAATAAAAAATAGTGATAATTATATTATTGCACTTTATTTTATTTTTTTATAAAATAATAAAGTGATACTATTATATTTTACAATAAAAAGGGAGTATTAAATAAAAATACAATTATTTTATAGTAAACTTAAAAATAAAATGCTATTATTTACTTTTTTTATATATGAATTGTCATCATTTTCAAACTTAAATCTCAGCAAGTTTTATTTTGGCATGTTGCCGGAAAGTAAGTATATGCGCTGCTGATTGAAGAGCTTCAGTGAATGAATCGTCACAGTTTTGCATTGTGCTTTGAAAACGGCAGCGGATAGCCTAGATTTATGCTTTCAGTTCGAATATAAATCTTATACAGTATTACAGTTTGTCGATCTATCCTAAGCAATGTGTTTTTGTCTTGCAGAGGAGTATGTGACATGCCACACGTGTCGGTCTCCTGACACAATCTTGCAGAAGGACACGCGTTTGTATTTCCTGCAGTGTGAGACGTGTCACTCCCGCTGCTCCGTCGCCAGCATCAAGACCGGATTCCAGGCTGTGACGGGCAAGAGAGCGCAGCTGCGTGCCAAAGCCAACTAGCGCCTGTCCCTCCACCATCAAACACCTTACACGGCCCGTCTGAACACCTGTACTCCACCACCAAACTCAACAAATCCACTCACGCAGGTTACTACTCAATCTGTTCAGGAAGTCTGAAATTTAGATCAGAGATCTCGGTCATCTCAAATGCATCATTTAATTTCAGCTCCTTAGAGCTCTGAAATGGCCTATGCACCCGAAGAGAGTGCTGATTTGTTCGGTCTGGCTGTGGAGCAGAGAGAGCGCAGAGCCTGGAGGATTTTATGAATGAACTATTGGTGAAATTTGTTGTTCCTGTATTACCTTCAGAAAAACAATTGAAATAAAATGCATACCAGCTGGGCAAACACATGCAGTGTATGTTTCTGGGAAGACGTCTTGCTTTACATTTAGAGAGTTTGAATGTGATTGAGAAATGAGTGTTAATTGGTCTGAAATGTACTGTATGATTTAGTATGATTATGTGAACAGACAATAATATAATATCTCTTAAAAAAACTGGAAGAGTGTTTTTTTTTTTAATTAAGAAAAATGCATGATCCAGTTTGTACTTTTTTATAATTGAAACTAATAGGTTTGCTCATTCTCTAGATTCAGTGTTTTTTTGATCTCATAAAGTGTGGATTAAAAATCAAATCAAAGGGAATTGTTGCAAATGTAGTTACAATTATGTCCTCCATATTAAACACATATTTGGGAAGAAGTCATTTTAAAGGGGTCATATGATGCTGCTAAAAATAACATTATTTTGTGTATTTGGTGTAATGAAATGTGTTTATGCGGTTTAAAGTTAAAAAAAACACATTATTTTCCACATACTGTACAGCAACTTTACAGATCTTCTTTATGCACCAAGAGCTTGTAACTCTCTAAAGAGAAAGGAAAAAATGAAATCGCATCATATGACCCCTTTAAGGTTTTTAAATCACTGTCATCCCAAAAAAAAAAAAAATTTGTTCTAAATTGTTTTTGTGCTCCATATACAACTATTTGAGGAAAAAAAGTAATTTTAGGACATTTTTGTCGCTGTCCTCTAAAAATCTTTAAAAAAAGGACTTTAAAGAGAATTGTTGCAAATTTTGTTACTTTTGTGCTCCATATACAGCTATTTGAGGAAAAAGGTAATTAAGGCATTTTTATCGCTGTCATCTAAAAATCTTTTAAAAAGTTAAATGGACTTCTACTCCATATTATACAAATATTTGTAAAAAAATAAAATAAAAAATTAAGGCGCTTTAACCACTTCTCTAAATCACTCATCTAAAAATCTTTAAAAAAGTTAATTGCATGCATTTTCCACAGTATTCCACCAGCTAGCAATGGCTACTTTTTCTCTAAAACAGTCTTCAGTCATTCTACTTTAAAAATAGTTATTATAGAACATTAACAAATTACATTAACATTAAAGGGTATTAGGGGCATTTTATATTTCAAATGAAATTGCCCAGAACTGATAATTACCCTGAAAAATGTGAAAGAAAAAAAAAAAAAATTTGTAAGACAGTCATAGCCTTTACTGTGCATCGGTCCAAATGAATCCAGTCTTTGCCTGTTTGAGCTCTATAGAGCCTCAAAATCCCACTGATATAAATCAAGGAATGTTATTCTGACACCCAGCATTCCAGTGTATTCCTATACATGTGATACTCTAACCCAAACACCCTCAGCGCCGTGGGCCTCTTTCTGTAAACCAACACACTTGTTTATGCGACTGCTCAAAGTATGACTGCTGAATGAGAGTTTGATGTGTCAGTCAGTCAGTCATCCTGGAGCAAAACACATTTGTAAAAAGTAAATATGAAACGAGACCCTCATCAGTGCGCACAATGCAAACAGATCCATATTTTTCACCACATCAAGTATGTTTGAAGGATGGGGCCTTTTCTCATCATGTTCAGGAGAAATCGCTGGCACCAGTAAAATTGCTAAATTGCTTCCTAATGCAAGTTCCTTATTAACTGGCATCTGTTGCTGTACCTGGCTATTTTCAATCTTTTGTGAGTTAAAGTAGTTCCATCCATACAGCACATGTGTTTTGGCAGTGATTAAAGGCATTACCAGCTCCAGGGATGAGAAGGAGAGTCATAGCAGCGGCTTCTGGTTAACATCCTACATCACTCACTTATAAGGTGACATGGGGAAGAATAATGAGCAGGGTTTCTTGACTGACCCAGACATGGCTGTCTCTGCTGCATGGGAGGAAATGTGTTGGAGTGCAAAAAAAGCATAGCTGAAGCCAAAACGTTTTAGCGGAATTTAGTTGTTTATTTGTTGCCAAATGTTTTGAGTTTTGACATGCTTCAATGATTTAGAAATGTCTCTGCATTATGGCATTATCTTTAATTATAGGGGCCGTTATGTCTTAAAGCCTGAATGATAGATACTGGAAATCACATGCAAAACCAGAATCCTAACCACTTATCCTTAAATAGCTTGTCTTAATATTTTTTCCCCTCTTAATTCAGAGTTGCATAACCAGCCATTATATTAAGACCGTCTTAAAAATTCTTTCATCATGTACTCATGCTCATGTCATTCCGAACCTGTATGACTTTTATGGAAGTCCATTTCCACCACAAACTAAAAAAATAAAACATCTCATGATTCAGACTTTTTTCTTACAATTCTATAAACGTGAAAAAATTTTGAGTCTCAAAATTCAGACTTTTTTTTCACAGAATTGCAAAAATTCTGTGAAATTATAATATATCTCGCAATTATGATACCCCCCCCCCAATTCTGAGTTTACATGTAACAATTCACCTTTTTTGTAAAAAGTAATTGTGACTATCTCAAAATTTTGACTTCGGAATTGCAAGTTGCAATTCTAAGTTTATCTCAAAATTCTGACTTTGTTCTTTGAATTGCAAGACCATTTCTTAGAATTGCAAAATATAAACACTGAGAAAAAAGTCAGAATTGTGATATAAAATCAATTCTGAGAAAAAAAAGTTTGTGTTTTTATATCTTTTTTCTGACTTTTTTTATTTTTTATTTTGCTGAGGTGGAAACCAGCTTCCACACTTTTTCTTTTGCGAAACAAAATAATTTAAGGCTTTTTAGTCATACGTAAGTGTGTAGTTTTAACCAGTAGGTCCAATTATGACATTCTGATTAAACATTATGAAGTCAATAAAAAAAGAAAAGAAAAGAAACATGCATGGATGGAATTGTTCACAATAAGATCTGTAACATGCATTTAGAAAATAGATTCAGGCCTACTTTAAAAAAAGTTCAACTTTACAAACTGTATCGACAGCTGCTCTTTCAAATGAGGCAATTGTGTTGTTCTTGTAAATGTTTTGGACCTCAGTGATTGCCGTTTGTGGCTATGGGAGCAGTTGCAATATAGCAATATTTCTACTTACTACAGGTTGTGTTAGACTGAACGTTCTCTCCCATCCAGACCTCAAAGCAAGCTGTGCCTATATTTCAAGCGGCTGCTACTTCAATCCTCTTAGCGACAAATCTAACGGAGGTGGAATAAATCTCTTGTCTTAAGGGGGTGGAGTTGTTTACACTGTTAAAGAGTTGGATTCTATTTCTCCCGGAAAAATGCGCCCGCGCACGCATCGACCAGAGCAAGAGCGAGATCGCGCCCATCAACGCGCTTCATCCGGCGGCAGCGCTGCACGGTACTTGCTCGGGAAGAATGTCTCCAAAGAAGTGTGTTTTTGGTTGTAAGGGAAAGATTCCTGAAGAAGGTTCCTGAAGAACCCAGCATTATTTAAACAGTGGATGCAGTTTGTTTTTCCGGGGGCAGCAACGGAGTTTCACAAGTGTGTTTGTTGACAAACATTTTATAATCAAGGCCCGGTTCGACACTGGATTTGCACATCGTTTGATACTGAAAGATGGAGCGGTCCCAGCTATAAAAGATCCCGTTCATGATTCAGAACTGCAGACGGTAAGTGAAACGGCATCAAATGTCTCACTCTTTAGCTCCGCCCACGGCGCGCCTCCAGGAGCTCGGCTTTTTCCGGAGAGAATCGTAAAGCTGTATCTTTCTTTTATAAATATGATCAAACTAAAGACTTTTTTGGAGATATGAAGGATGCAGTACTACTCTATAGGTACTTAAGATTAACATGAGATTGGGTGAAACTGTGTGTATGTCATGTCCCCTTTAAAGGTAAAGAATATATTAGACTAGGTGCTGAGGATTAGCCTATATATTAGCATTCCTAGCGGGCAACATTTAAACACGTGAAGAAAGATGTTTCACAAGTCATCAGTTTATTTACATCTGTAAATATATCTTGCAGTCTCGAAAGTGCAAGCAGAAGAAATATGCACATGTAATTAAAAATAGCCAACCATTCTGATTCTGACTGGCATATAAATAAAATGAAAACATTTCTGGAAAAGCACAAACAAGACAGGAAAGAAGGAGGAACGGAAATAGGATGAGGTTATTTACATATGAGGCACCCAAATGTGTAGAAAAATGCATGTTAATTGTGTTTTGCGGGGAGCATGAATGCAGAATGTCTCCTGATCCCCTTCTGTTGTTGTTATCAGGAACTGTGGCCTTTTTGTAATGGATTCCTGGTTTAGGGGACGTCCCCCTCCTCCCTCCCACCAAACAGCTTGTTTAGCTGTCTGTCTCAATGACAGCTGATGCTGGAGTTTGACGGCGCCTGTTGGTTTCAATGTCTTCCCGCTGAGTCTGTGTATTAAAAAAGTTTCCAGTCGACAGTGTTCTCCAACTCCCTGCTGTAATAAATACAAAAAAAGGAAGACGAGCATTAAGATGTGATAGTGGACAAAAACAGCTATGACAAGAGGCGAGCAAAGGAGGGGGGCTGAAATGAAAAGAGCTAACTGGATCTCCGTCAATACTCGCATGTGGTTTTTTTCTTCCCCAACCGCCCTTAAAGCTAAAAACCCAATATAAAGTGTTTTGTTGAAATTCAAGGACAACTAACACAGCAAACATCCAAAAAACACGGTCAGAAATCAATATATCGTGGTAAATTTACAGAAACTACAACCCATATGGACTAAATGGTCTTTTTTTTGGTCTTCTTTTGAAAGTCTCTGGTATCTTTCACCTTTTATTGCACCAATCACCATAATACTGTGAAATCGATCAAGAGATTTTCTAAACAGGGAACCTGAAGTTCTCTGTGGTCCAGAATGAGTGTTATCTGACTTTCAACATGTATAATTCTTCTAATGCACTCACTGATGCAAATCACTGGAATAACTGATATATATAAATATATATATATATATATATGACATCATTTTTGACAATTCACTATTGTAATGTGAAAAGTATTTTGTCTAAAATATATTTATAATATTTCTAACTTACAATATTTATAATATTTCTCTCTTTCTCTATCAATCTATATATGTGTGTGTGTGTGTATGCATCACTGAGATACTATTCTAAGTTTTAGGCGTATTTGTCATATTTTCTGTTTTCATTTTAACTTTGAAATAAAAATGACTAAAAACGAAATAAACATTTAGTTTTTTTTTTTTGTGCTTCAAGTCAAACTAAACAAAAATGAGAAATGTTGCCTTGGCAATTATCTGAAATTAGATTAATTTTAATATTAAAGTTTGTTTTATATCAAGTAATAGAAATGTTTTTTTTTTAATGGTTTTAGATTTAGTTAATTATAATAACCCTGATATGTATATAGTACTTATATAGTATTTAAAAAAAAAATACAATATGCAAACCCCTCAGAGGACCTCAGATGATGCCAACCTGAAACAACATACAGAACTACCACATTTTGCTATAAGTTTGATTGCATCATATAATAATTGCTGTTAATAGTGTTCATCGTCTGTTTGATTCTGTCTTTAATTGATTTTTCCGTACATTTCTGCCATATGTACATTGACTGACAGTCACCACTGATAAGCTACCACTAAATACTGTAGAAACTTAATTTGCTGTAAAGTTGCATTGCAA